TGGTACCCGTGGGCAGCATTACATCAAAGATACCTAATTTGGTAAAACTCAGCCCCAAGGATAGCCATGTTTTGTTAGATCTAATACTGCTAGATGTGTACGGCAAAGTAACTACCGTGAAGTAAATGTGTCCACTGCACCAGCTGGACGGTAGCTCTGTAGTGAGCCATGCTGCTCATTTTCTCATTTAACCCCCTCAGTAACCCTGAGAGGTAGGTATTATCACCACTTTATAGATGGGAAACCAAAACTTAGAAAATGGCCATTTGCCCAAGGTCACATAGTTCATTGTTGGTGAAATTGGAATTTGAACCCATGTGTTTATTCACCTCTTGAATCCTACCAGATCAGGTGCATCCGAAGGGGTCTGAGCCCTAAAGCTTTGAGCTCTGGCTTTTTTTTCTTTCTTCTTTTTTAAACTGTTTGGAAACATTTAAATTGGTATTAGTAAAGATGGAAATTTGCATTGCCTTTAGAATGGTCTCAGATTGGGGGTGGGGTGGTGGCAGCAGTGAATAAAGTTACCAGATGATATAATGTAGAAAAGTAGAACATGTGGAATGCTCTGAGTTGTCCATAGTGAAGAAAGTTTTATTTCTGGGAATTTTTTTCATAGGTTAGTGATGGCAAACTATCATGGTGGGGGTTTCTGAAGCCTCGTTTTGTTATTTTCTGCTCCGCTGTGTATTTTCCGTGTGAAAAGTTTGTACCAGAGGCGTATGAGGCCCTGGTGTGTGTCTCTTACATCATCTAAGTTGGACCATAGTATTACTGTGTTCTCTTGCTGAAATACTTCTTTCAGTTGAAGTGTGATATACGTGTAGAAAAGTTACATATCGTAAGTGCACAGTTCAGTGAATTTTCACAGACTGAATACACCCAGCTTGCAGGTCAAGAAGTTTAACATTAGCAACAGCTCAAAAGCACCTATCGTGTCCCTTCCATCAACTGGAATAGTTTTAATTCTCCCGTGTAAACCTCACATCATTCCTTATCTTTCAGGTTTCTTCCTGATTGTGGCTCTAACATTACTTTGTCTTTCTGCAACCAGAAAAAGAACAAATAAAAACTTCACTGAAACTTGTCTCTTCCTCCTTTCATAATCTTATCTCTTGATCAGTCTGCTTCCGTTAAACCAAAGTGTTTTGATGGCTACAAAGTCATAACTCGAGGGAATATGGGGGTTGGCATAGAACATGCGGCTGTGGGGTAAGAGCTAAAAACATTCTTTGAAATTTTCAAAACTGAATGAAAATTCGGTGGTCGAACTCAACCATCTGTTAGTTAAGAGGTAATGAATGAGCGAATGGTAAGTTGCCTGTGTTTTGGGGAAGTGGTGATAGGAGCAGTTTCCTCCTTCTCAGAACTCTGATGGGGCTTTAACAGCTTACTTGTGAAGGATGTGAACTTTCATCTAAAGCCATAGCAAATTCAGTACAGTCTCTGTAGGTGCAAACTCATCCACATGTGGTTCTGGTGCCCTTCCCTGCTCTACTTGAGATTCACTTATGTCAATTTGTGCCCTTTGCTGCAGTTTTTTTTTTTTTTTTTTTGTGGTATGTGGGCCTCTCACTGTTGTGGCCTCTCTCGTTGGGGAGCGCAGGCTCGGGACGCGCGGGCTCAGTGGCCATGGTTCACGGGCCCAGCTGCTCCGCAGCATGTGGGATCCTCCTGGACCGGGGCACGAACCCGTGTCCCCTGCGTCAGCAGGCGGACTCTCAACCATTGCGCCACCAGGGAAGCCCCCCTTTGCTGTTTTAAGCATTTGAATAAAACTTAATTTTTAACTCTTAAATTATGCCATCCTGGGCTTTCAGGGCTTGCATGTGAAAGCTGATGTACCAGCTGGGTAGAAAAACCTGATCCCAGGTGGCCCAGGCTTAGCAAGCACTCTTTGTCCTGTGCTTTGTCTCCCACAGAACCAATCTTTTCTTAAATTATCCGAGTAAAGAGATTTAGAGGCATGCACAGCCACACCTTGGCTTTCTGGCAAAGTGATATTCTAGATACTAGAATATTCTAGAGAACCAACATTTTAGCCTCCCATGTATTCTGACATTACATTAAAAATAATCTAAGCGGGCTTCCCTGGTGGTGCAGTGATTGAGAGTCCGCCTGCCAATGCAGGGGACACGGGGTCGTGCCCCGGTCCGGGAAGATCCCACATGCCGCGGAGCGGCTGGGCCTGTGAGCCATGGCTGCTGAGCCTGCGCGTCCAGAGCCTGTGCTCTGCAACAGAAGAGGCCACAACAGTGAGAGGCCCGGCGTACCGCAAAAAAAAAAAAAAAAAACAAAAAACACCTAAGCATTGGTGAGTTCCCTGGTGGCCTAGTGGTTAGGATTCTGGGCTTTCACTGCCGTGGCTGGGGTTCAGTCCCTGGTTGGGGAACTGAGATCCCACAAGCCACCCGGCCAGTATTCTTCTTCCTCCTCCTCCTCCTCCTCCTCCTCATCTAAACGTATTAGTCCCATATTTCCCTACCTTCTTGGGGAGAAAAGCATACAAACACCAAGTATTAATTTTGTTCTGCAGAAAACCATAGTTCTAAAATGGTGCCAAATCTGGGAGTTGCCCTGGAGTTTCTTTTATTGTCGTGGGGCATTTTTTTAGGGGGAGGTTTGCCTCTGTCCTAACGAAGGTGACAAGAAGATCGTGCAATGCTTCCCTGGTGGTGCAGTGGTTAAGAACCTGCCTGCCAGTGCTGGGGACACGGGTTCGAGCCCTGGTCCGGAAGATCCCACATGCCACGAAGCAACTAAGCCCGTGCGCCACAACTACTGAAGCCTGCGTGCTTAGAGCCCATGCTCCGCAACGAGAAGCCACCGCAATGAGAAGCCTGCACACTGCAACAAAGGGTTAGCCCCCGTTTACCACAACTAGAGAAAGCCTGCGTGCAGCAACGAAGACCCAGTGCAGCCAAAAATAAATAAATTAAAAAAAAGAAGAAGAACATGTGGTTGGTTCTAAGAACTCCTGGCGTGTAGAACCTTTTCTGCAAGGTTATTGGTCACAAATTAAAACTGGCCTTTTCCAAGTCATTACCTTATTCTGTTTTCATGTCCAAATGGGCCATAATGCTTTATAAGATAATTACTTAGACCACATTTTCCTTCCAGCCCTTCTTTTTGGTAGACAACAAAATCCTGACCTAAAGCTCCTTTGCTCTTGTGCTGTTGAATCTTCTGTGATGCTGGTGGGTTAACTTTGGTGCTTTGGGACGGACGTTGATGTCATTGTGGCAGGGAGTGCGTTAAGAGCCCTGTCGCTCTCAGACCTTCGTCCTTGGTGTGCGGGTGTGCTTTATAATTGTCTAGCAACAGAATAACTTTTCTGGCCACAGTACAGCTTTTGAAATGTGGATTTTAAAATTATAAGTGTATTTTACATATATTAGTTTATTTCATCGCAGTATTTAATAAATAAAAAAAAATTTGTAAGGGAAAATTGATGAAAAGAAAAAAGTTTTCATCACTGAGGCTGATGGGATTTAGCAGTAGCTTGTTACCTTATCTTGTGCACATGTAAACTCAGTGACTGACACTGAGGGCCCGAGGTTAGCCAGCATCACAAATAGGCACCAGCTTTGTAAAACTCTTCAGGGCATAGCCTTTTTTCAGAAGTGAATTCACTGGACGGCATCGTTAGTGCAACTTAGCTATTTGTTGGTATCTATCAGTCTTATCTACCCTTTCCAAAGTTATATCTCACTTTGAAATGTCAGTACATATACATCAAGCAGTCCAGGTTCTAATTTGGCAGTGAGTACAGCATTGTTTAGCATCATGAGTAAATAATTTGGTAAAGAATTTTACCAACTGTCTTTTAGAATTTTGCTCTGTAGTATAGATTTACTACCACTGTACTAGTCCATCAGCATTTTCCTGTGTTTGCCATTTTTGAGTTGGGCTCACATTTCCATTTTCTCTTTTAAGTTACCCTTTTAAATGTCCTATACCCTTTGCCTTTTGTTAGAAATCTGGAATACAAAGGGTGGCTTTTATACTATGCCTAGATCTATTCTGCCCACCCCCCCATTTTTTTTGGCCGCACCATGTGGCATGCGGGATCTTAGCTCCCTGACCAGGGATCGAACCCATGCCCCCTGCAGTGGAAGCGTGGAGTCCTAACCACTGGACCACCAGGGAAGTCCGTATTTTGCTCCCTTTAATACTCTGCAGATGATAGTATCTTGGCCTAGCCTATCCATATGAGTCAGTATTGGAGAGCACACTCGTTTGAGTTCTGAAAATCTGCATGGGATTCATTAGCCCGAAACCTTGGGTAGGCTCTTTTCACTTTGCAGAATGCAGGGACTCAGTTGTGTGGTCTCTGGGCCTCCCCCTGAATGGGGCCCATTGGTGTGCTTCCAGCATTCTCTAACTCGGACACATCGTGGCCCTTGAGGGTGAGAGAAGTAAGTAGGACTTACTGTGCTTTTTCATTAAAATACGGTTTTCCCACACAAGGGCACATGGCTGCGCATGCAGGTAGCAGCGGGACGGTGGCTGACCCATACTTGGGATAGCCTAGAGACAATATGAGGAAATCCCAAGATTGGATCTCTGTGATTCTGGAAATTGGCTTGAAGATCCCTGGAGAGGTCTTCAGGCTCTCTCTGTTGCTGCCCAGTTGTTGTGCGGTTATACCTACTCTCTTCCTTTATTCTCCAGTGTCAGTGTTTGCTGTTTTCCAGAAATCTCCTCACAGAAACTCATCTTTTATTTTTCCCTCCCTCTGCTTTTCTACTGAGGTTTTAATGCTAGATGTTTGGGAACCTGAATTCTCATTTCCAGACACAATTCCTTTTTAAGTATCAGAGTTGACATAATGCTGGTTGTTTTAAAAATTACAAGAAGTTTTGCATCCATGTAACTGATAATACTCCAAATAACACCTTTTACAAACAAACCTAAAAGGCAACATAGCCGTCTTCATGGCTACCCACTTAAGAGTGAAAAGGAAATGATTGCTTTTTTTTCCTTGTCTTAATTCTTTTCAGGTTTTGAATGAAGAATGTGATCAGAACTGGTACAAGGCAGAGCTCAATGGGAAAGACGGCTTCATCCCCAAGAATTACATAGAAATGAAACCACATCCGTAAGTTAGGCTCTGCTGACCCTCCAGGGTCAGACCCATCTGCTTGTTCAAATGATGTTTTTAAAATTGAGATCATTGGGATGGATGTCATACTTTTTATTCTGTCTTCTCAGGGAATTAACAAAGCATGTTGATTTTTCCATGTTAGTAAGAGTGTATAATGAGAGCATAATAGTCAATAATAGTGTATGTTTTAGATAACTGTCAGTGATCTTCAAGTGATAAAATAACAGTTACACAGGTCCATAATTCTTTCTCTGTGAAACCCTTTGTGCCAGATGTGTTTCATAATTCTGCATTTTTTGAGTTTTAGAAAGGGTATTTATCACGTGGTTTTGTATTGACATGTTTGATATTCCTGTGGGACCATATCTTAATAATCTTGGTATCACCAGAGCACAATACTTGGCATATAATTGGTTCTCGGTAAATGTACACTATAATCACTGCCCTACCCCTCCATTTTAGTGTTCCCACTTCAGAGAAAACAAAGTGCTCTCCTACTCCAGGCTGCCGAGAGCAGTGAGAAAAAAAAATTTTTTTTTTAATTCCAGAACCGTTTATTGTTGATATATGACATGGTGGGATCCTAGGAGCCCTTACAGACCACTTTCCTCCCACCCTTACCCACCACCTCTTTTATTGTCTCTGCTTCTCCCTCAAAAGCAGTCATTTTCTCGTGAGTATGTCAGGGAGAACTGAAGCATTTAGTGCCCAGACTAGAATGCCACTGAAACACAAGGAAACGGTAGATCCTCTGTATTTACTTGTTTTAACACAAAATGGTAAATAAGGCTTTTAGATGACTGCCCCACCTCGAGTAGCAGCCCATTTGTCCCTCTCCCCCATTGTCACTGTTCTGATGTGTCCCTGTCATTTCTCTTCCCCCAAGTACTGGAGAGAGATCTTAGCCACATCTTATCTTACACAGCTTTTACGTCATCTTACAAAGAACTGAATGCCGTAGAGCTCAAAAGGGCCTTGACAACGGTCTAGTTCATTCCTCTTTATGCTGCAAATTAGGAAAGCTTCCAGTATTTTTATTTCAAAACCACTATTTATGAATTAATAAACTAATATAGTTCTCATTTTCTAAAATATTTTAATTTTTTTGGTGTGTAGTTGATTTACAATATTGTGTTAGATTCTTTTCTCATATAGGTTATCACAGAATATTGAGTAGAGTTCCCTTGTTGGTTATCTTATATATGGCAGTGTGTGTATGTTTATCCCAAGCTCCTGATTTATGAATAGAGTTCTCATTATAAAAGACTCACAGTGTAGAAAACTATAGAGCAATGTGAGTTTCTCCCCATACATGTACCCCTTTTAGAGGTAACCACCACTAGCAACTAAACATGAGCCAAATGCTACCTTATGAACTGAATCTGTTCTAAAATGATTTGCCTCTATGAAACAAAACAGATGATTCAGGAGCTTCACCCTAAAACTGTCTGTTGGATTCGTGTTTTGGTCGCTGAACTCTTGCACAGTTCTTACTATGTGCAGAGACTGTGCTAGGTGCTGGGAAGTTAGGTTCTGTAGTTAAGTTATGGTATAATAAAACGTCCGTGTAGTTAATGGGAAGTTCTTTGAGAGAGCACATCCAGGAAGCCTGGAGAGAGATTGGGTTACCCTGCAGTTTGGTAGTAGGAAGATACCTATGCAGAAGTTTCTATAATGAAGAATCTGTGAGGTCCTCAAGGAAACTTCTTAGATTTCAAGAAGAACCAGGCACCTTATAATGGCTTCACTAAACGTTTCATTGAATGATTTAAAAGGAGAAAACCAGTCTAACTGTAAAGTATATTTTTCTAGTTTTTGTTTGAAACTTGTACTATCGTGTATCTTTGTAACTATGTGAGTTTGATCTCTCCCCCTCTCCCCTAAAAAAGATATTAGATTCCTTGAAGAATTTATGTCTTCTGCTTTCATACTCCCTTGTAACTTGTGCCTTGCCTCTGCACATAGTAGCTCAGTAAGTAGTTTTGAATTGATACCCAGATGCAAATTCTTGTACAAAGGCTGGGACCAATTTGTTCATGATAATAAAAGCCAGAAGTATTAAATCTTCAGAGGCATACGTGGAAAAGATTTGTGGCCCCTGGTCTGTGGATTGATAATGTCCCTTATTTGAGGTCCCTGTGATGTTAGATTGGCTGTTATTAACACACAGCCATGCCCAGGTTACTAAAATGTAGGCACAAGCAGTGATATCCAAGAAACTACAGAAGATGAGCATGAGATTATTACAGATTCCCAGGAAGTGTACTAAGCACAGTTTTGCATTCTTGTGGCCACTTAGTGTCCATATTTGCTTTGGGGGCTGTGTGGGCTTTTCGTGGACAGCATCACGGAATACACCCCGTGGGGAGAAGCGGTTGGATAGTGGTTACTGGGAGTCACATAGTGCATCCTACCTCGGTCCACGCAAGCCAAAAATTGGTGCACATCTATTCCTATAATCCGCCCTCAAAACAGATCAGGGATTGGCTAAGCCTTTTATGTAAAGGGCCCAATAATAAATATTTTAAGCCTTGTGGGCCATGTGCAGTCTCTGTCATGTCACATATACTTCTTCGGTTGAATTTTTTAAAACAATCCTTTAAAATTTTTTTAAATAGTCTTAGATTGTGGGTCACAGCAAAACTGGAAAGATTTAGGCTGAGGGCCATAGTTCGCTGACTTCAGCATTAGATCCAGTGATAACAAAATCAACTTAAGTTCCTTTTCATTTTTCCTTTTTTTTTTTGGCAGGGGGGCTGCATTGGGTCTTCGTTGCTGCGGGCAGGCTTCTCATTGCGGTGGCTTCTCTTGTTGCGGAGCATGGGCTCTAGGCAAGTGGGCTTCAGTAGCATGTGGACTCAGTAGATGCAGTGCATGGGCTCGGTAGTTGTGGTGCATGGGCTCAGTAGTTGGGCGCTCGGGCTCAGTAGTTGTGGCACACGGGCTTAGTTGCTCTGCAGCATGTGGGATCTTCCCAGACAAGGGATCGAACCTGTGTCCCTTGCATTGGCAGGCGGATTTTTAACCTCTTCGCCACCAGGGAAGTCCCCTTTTCATTTTCATATTTCCAGGCTGAAGGAGAATTCAGCAGAACATCAGACTGTAATTTTTATATTAAATAAAATGCCTGTGGCTCTAAATCCTTGTTTTTCTTCAGATTGTTTCAGGTGACATCAGCATTTCAAATCTGACTGTTGAGAACATAGGAAAGGCCACTTTCCTTGGATAGTTGTAGTTACTGACCTGATTGATGGATTAGCTTTTTAGGAAGAGTCACTCTCATGCCTGCTCCTCTCTCCCCACTGTAAAGAACTTCGGAATAATAATTGATCAGGAAGGGTCCAGGCCCCATGGTGGTGTTCTTCATAGACTCTAGCTGGAACGCAGGCAGTGTTCATCCATCCAAGCTCTGCAAAAGGAAACCATATTGCCAGAAAAGACCATCACCCTGTACCTGTGCAGTGGTGGGCCTCTCAGGCCTGTTTCACATTAACAGGGCTGCTCTGTGACTGGATGTTCATAAGTACAGGGTCAGTGTTGGTTTCATAGCTATGGGAGGGTACAGAGTACCAGGCCCCTCCTTCCATCTCCCCAGCCTCCCTTACTTCCCTTTTTTAGTTTTTGTTAGGGAGCAAGAGGGAAGTTTAAAATGGAGTATGGGGCTTCCCTGGTGGCGCAGTGGTTGAGAGTCCGCCTGCTGATGCAGGGGACACGCGTTCATGCCCCGGTCCGGGAAGATCCCGCATGCCACGGAGCGGCTGGGCCCGTGAGCCGTGGCCGCTGAGCCTGCGCATCCGGAGTCTGTGCTCCGCAACGGGAGAGGCCACAACAGTGAGAGGCCAGCGTACCACAAAAAAAAAAAAATGGAGTATGACCTAATATAGCATTTGAGCTAACAAATTAAACACAGACTACGAAATGATTGTTGGCGTTAGTGTTGCAACATGAGTTGTATATACTGGGGGTGGATCCAAATATGTGCTTTTCACATGAAGTGCATATGGATGGGTGCCTATGGGATGTAATAAAGACTTGAATTGGAAATAAGCTGCCTCCTCCCATTAGCTTTCTCCCTTGCTAATTGTATTGTAGTATAAACCCATCTTTTAAAAAATTTTAAGAAGTTTGACCATAGCCATGTATTCACACGTAAATATCACCATTAAAAGAAGTTTATCAAAGTTATAACAGTATAAAATGCTAAGGAAGTGTAGGATGGTGGTATTAAATGTTATAACTGAGAGTGATAGCTGTTTCTCATAGTGTCATATCCCCTATGTTGTGGGACATCCTCTTTTTCTAGAGGGAGGAAGCGGGGGAGGGAGTGTGTGTGTGTTTAGTGAAAATGGGAGCAGGTACAAAAGAAGTCTTTATTTAATAAAATGGTCTCCAACTAATTTTCCATTTTTCAATCTGGGTGCTTATAACGGGTGTTTTTTATGAAGTAATAAATCTTTGTAAAAAATTCTAGTTAGAGTACTTTGCTTCACCACAGGTTTTTTTTTTTTTCCCCCAAGTTGAAAATAAAAATGAGTTAATTTTAAGCTGAGAGGAAGAAAATACTGCCACCATATCTATCTATTTGTGCACCATAAGAGAAGGTCCACAAACATACACATCTAACTGCCAACAGTTGCTGCCTCTGGGGAGTTTGAGGGAAGAGTCTTGCTTATTTTTACTTCACATACATCTAAGCTATTTTAATTTATGTTCATTACTTATACCTTAAAAGAGGAAAGCAGAAAGGAAAATGCCTGCCTGGTAGGAAGATTTGGGGGTGCCTAGGAGGAAAGAATGTGACTGTTGAAGAACTTCTCACCACCCCTCGGCCGAATGGCTACTGAGTGCACGGGCACTGCAATGTAAATCAGAGAGCACAGATGAAAACAGAAAGTACTTACGTGATCTCAACACTATGAGCTGTCCTTTCCTAGTGGGAGATAGTTCTGTTGTGTTACTACATGATTTCTCCTGTGTGGCCTTACTGCCAGGCCCTGGAAGTCTTACCCTCAAGTTCTTTGTAGGTGCAGGAAGATAGGTTGTACCAGCTCCTCAGTGGCTTGGCATTACTTCACTTCAAATGAGAAAGATACAAGGCTGCAGATTTTAGGAATGTTTAAAGGTTACTAATGGCAACTTCTGAATGTATCCTTCCTAGCAGCTCCCATCCTTCTATTTGAATTTTAGTATAGTGTATTATTTCAGAGACATCTTGGCAGTTGCTTATAAGTAAGATAGATATATGTTAGGTTTATAACTTTAACAGATTCTTTGTATCTTTGTTATTCTAGTTTGCATATTTAATGCATGTTAGTTACCATTTATGGAGTCTGATGAAGCAGGTAGGTCTTTATTAGTTACAAGTGGCATCGTTGCTTTTTTAAAAATAATAGCACAGTAAAGACAAGTTGCAAAGAGAACCTTGTTTTCACAGTCATCTATCCTAATTAGTTGTGGCTTTCCTGTGAGAAGTGAGGTGCCTGTGACTTGAAGCTGTTTCAGAGATTTCTCCTCCTCTTCCTCCTGGTCAGCCCCAGCCCCAGCTGCTCCTACCCTTTTGCATGAATTCACCCACTTTTTCTTGTGACCAGGGTCAATTAGCATTGGGAGCAGAAGAATCTGTAAGTCACTCCAAATGAAAAAGTGAATTTTACTAGCTGCCTCTGCACAGAGTAAAGCATGGCATTCCTAATGGTTCCTGAACACCAGACTCTGAGCGGTGACAGCAGAGAGTGGCCTTGAGAGGAGTGCCAACCACAGCTACGAGCAGAGGCTGCTCCCTCACAGCCTGAACCTCTTCCCTTTGTGCTGTTACAAGAAGTGGCCCTGTCTCCAGCTTCTGGGCCTTCCAGCTTTCCTACCCCCGTTTCTCTTCATCCCACTGTAGCAAGGCTGCTGCCTTATCAAGTGGCTGCAGGAAGGCCCTGTCTCACCTTAAATGGTTCATCATGTGCTCAAATCGATAGGCCTGGGCTTTCCCTGCTGCCTTGCTGATGAGTCAGTTGGGGGCCCAGTGAGCTTTGGCCCAGGAGGCCCATTTTTAAGTGTCTTCCTCTATAGAAAGTGGCCTACGATTGTGTCTTTTGAGTCACTGGGGAATGAAGGAGACGGTTGAAGGGAGATGGTCCCCCTCTCAAGGCGTGATGGGGCATGTGGAGACAGGAGGGTAGAGAGGGAGGCCCTTCCTTCAACGAGGAGTGTTCTGTTACTCCCATTTCGGAGGCTGGATATCCCGTTTCTTTGTGGGGAAGCAGATGTTGATTGGCTTGCCTTCCTTCCTTAGGTGGTTTTTTGGCAAAATCCCCAGAGCCAAGGCAGAAGAAATGCTTAGCAAACAGCGGCACGATGGGGCCTTTCTTATCCGAGAGAGCGAGAGTGCTCCTGGGGATTTCTCCCTCTCTGTCAAGTAAGTATTTACTACTTTGATTGCCTGGAATCCTGTCTTCAGATGATGGAAATTGTGAAGCCAGAGGCCAGGTGTCTGGGTACACACACCAAAGGTGGCAAACTGGGAGCGGTTGAGCCTAAACAGTATTTTATAAATCAGAAAAATTTACATTAAAATCCTAATTTCTGGCTCCTCTTAAAAATGACCTCTAGCAGCACTGGATTTAGATTCCCGTGTGAAAACTGTCTTTAGTTGCTGAGCAGCAGCTGAGCTTCAGAGAGCAAATACTTGCCAGTTTTCCCCAATCCCCACCACTCTGCAGTGCTCTCCACACACACAGCTCTTCCCTCATCCGGGCACCCCTGCCCTCTGTGGGATTCCTACAGCTCTGTAACAGCAACTGATCACCAGGTCAGCTGCCTTGTGCACCTTGACTAGGTGTCTCTCTGAAATCTACCAGTGTCATACTAGACCTCACACTGACTTAAAAGGTGACCACAGGGGTTTATAGGTTTTTGCTTTCCCCAGTGGTAAATTTAAATGTGGAATGGAGCTGGTATGCAGGGAGTGGGGAAGGCAGGGAGTTATACCACCTTGGGAATGAATCATGGAGAATATAAATTGGAACTTTGAGGATCCTAAGGTAATCACTTCCCATCTGTGACGTAAGGATTTTGAATCAAATTGTCATTTTTCCATATGTGTTTTGACTCTGTCCATTTCTAGTTAATATATTATCACAGGAAACCCTCCCCTAGGAATCTTACAAATCACGTCATCGTTTATGTGACAAAGAGGTGACTAGATTAAAAACTCAGATCACTTTAGTATACATATAAAATGAAGACTGTAAAACAATTTATTTGCCATTTACAAATGATATAAAGATTTTTCAGTTTCAAAAATCAGCTCAGTATCTTGTTTCATTTTAGGACCAAATGTGCAGTTAAAGTGTGGGTTTCTTTAATATAGATTTAAATTTAAAATTTTTGTGTTTCTTTTCTCAGTGAAGATGTGGGAGGTGGTTTCAGGTGACATTTGCAGTATCTTTCAGATACGTTTCCAGTATAGTTAGGTTTTAGTCCCAACATGAAAAAAATCAAACTGGATCTAATAGTTTTCCTCTTTTAACAATGGCTTTTTTTTGGGAAACTTTCTTTTTTAGAGCAGGTTTAGGTTCACAGCAAAATTGAGTGGAAGGTGCAGAGTTCCCGTGCACCCCTTACTCCCATATGCTTAGAAACAGTGGCTTTTTGATGTGCTTTGATTAAACACCTGCATATGAGGACCTGGTGGGCTGAGAGCATCTTGAGGTGGAAGAGTCCTTATGCTTCTCGTTAACTTGTGTTTCCGCCTCTGTTTTCCTTAACGTTTTATACTGACCTGAGTATAAATCGAACAGTGGAGGACAAGGAGTACAAGCAGTTAATCCTTGAATGATGGCCAAAAACCCCATGGCAGTTCGGGTTCGGTTGTCTGATGACCGTGCGCTGGCTGCCTGCCCGCCCGCCCATGCTCGTGCGCTGGCTGTCGGGAACCTCCCAGACCCTTCCGTTTTATCAAATAAAACCTTTAAAGAGTTCATGTATTTATTGCTTTAGAAATAAAATTTGAAACAGATGTCATAACCACCTCTAACAACACAAGCACCTGCACCAAGGAGGTTCAAGAGTGTGCAGTCTTGAGTTTCAAGTTGTTGAGTCTAATGGAAAAACTGCGGTAGTTAACAGCTCACCGTTAGGGACCCTGTACCCCTTTCAGAAGCCACCTGCATTGCACTGTGGGAGTGGGGCTCCCACGGGCCCAGAAGTGCCATTTCAGTATGTCCTTCTTCCTCATAAAGCTTTCTTCCTCATCCACCGTTTTTCCCATGAAATAGTGCTGTTTCTAAGCACTTCGCACTTGTACTCAGTGGCTTCCTTAAAGCTCAGTGCTGCCACCTGCTGGGTTGGTTTTAAGAAGTATTTACGCTTTAATACCAGCGATGGGAGGAGAGACTCTCAGTCGTTCATTTAACAGATCTTCATAGAGTGTCTTCTGAGGGCTGGGCGCTGGTGTGGACCTCGAGGACTCGGCAGAGAGTGGGTCAGGCAGGGCTTTGTTTGAGCTGATGTTCTAGGCAGACAGCACGACGGTGGTGGGCCATTCCCACTCATCCAGGCTCATGCTGTTTTTCTGGGCCATTGTAAAGAGAGCATTTGCCTTTTTACCAGGTGGTAGAGAAGCCTTTTATGGGGGGTGGCCTCTTATTTATTGTCCCAGCATGTTCTTTGCTTTTGAGATCTTTTCCCCTTAAGTAGAACTAAAATCCCTGAGTAGAAAACAAGACTTTAAACTCTTCCCAGTTACAGGAAAATTGTTGGAAGTTGTCTGATCCCTCCTTTCCTCACCTTATTTCCTGTTTTATCTTTTGTAGTCTTCAGATGTCACACAAGATTTCAGTTCTGTTTTTCATTTGGCACAGTGCAGGGCACACAGAAGCATTATATAGGTTAGGACTTTTTTTTTTTTTTTTTTTTGCGTTACGCGGGCCTCTCACTGCTGTGGCCTCTCCCGCTGCAGAGCACAGGCTCCGGACACGCAGGCTCAGCGGCTGTGGCTCACAGGCCCAGCCGCTCCACGACATGTGGGATCTTCCCAAACCAGGGCACGAACCCGCGTCCCCTGCATCGGCAGACGGACTCCCAACCACTGCGCCACCAGGGAAGCCCAGGACATTTCTTTTTATTTACAGATGTCTTCAGAATTAGACAGACTGACAGGGTTTCCCTGTCTGGCGAGGATTCTTCCTGTTGTCACTGGTAATTGTCATCCTAATGGAGGGTCTCAGGGTGCTCTCCAGCCAGGAAGTCAAGTTGTGCTACAGTCCTGGGCACCCAGCCTGTGATGGGCATGGCCAGCACACAAGTTCTCCAGGACACCTCCTTGGTGGGCAGGTGGCTCCTGAGTAGCTGGGACAGAGCCCTCTGGCCTGTTCTCACGTGTATCCTCTACCCCTCCCCAGGTTTGGAAATGATGTACAGCACTTCAAGGTGCTCCGAGATGGGGCTGGAAAGTATTTCCTCTGGGTGGTCAAGTTCAATTCTTTGAATGAGCTGGTAGATTATCACAGATCTACATCCGTCTCCAGAAACCAGCAGATATTTCTCCGGGACATAGAGCAGGTGCCACAGGTAAGCCTCATAAGAGACATTGGGATCATTCTTAGCAATTAAGAATAGCTCTTTAGGCAAGCAGGTGTTTTTTTAAAAGGTTCCTTTTGGACCTTCTGTATTCATTATTAAGTCATGTTAAAGATTTGAAGTTTGAAACAAAAAATAGTTTTGTCTTTTCCAGAGGCTGCTTCTCTGAAGCATTGTGTTGCTAGTTACCTTGTGTCTCTTGGAAGAAGGTCTTTAACACACCCTCAAATACTCTTTGCCTGGAAGTAAACTTTGAGGAAAATCGTACTGTAAGGGAGTGAAGTCCACACTCATTCTTAAACTCCTTCTCACATGTAATGGTTAATACCACCTTATTTTATTCAAGCTTTTACCCTTCTCACTGTATAAAACCTTAAGGATTTTCTAAGTGATAAAGCGATAGGAACTAAACCATTTTCACATCTGGGATTGTAAACAAAACCCCACTGGCTGTTTCCGAAGTTCTTTCCTCTTGAAGCAGTACCTGCTGCTCTTTGCTTGATGCTGGGGTGCAACCCGCCTCCACGGTGGGGACACCCTAGTGGTTTTGAGCACTGGTGAAGACTGCACGACACCCACCTCGAGTAAACTGTAAGAATTGGTGGGGAGGGGAGGAGAAGTGAGGGGTTATTTCAGGAAATGCGGAAAGGCTGGCGCACGCCAGTTTCCCCGTCACCGGTCTGCTTACGAGGGCCTGGCCACGATCAGGGATGCAATGTGTGTTTTCTCCCTGCCCCTCTTCTGCAGCAACCGACGTACGTCCAAGCCCTCTTTGACTTTGATCCCCAAGAGGATGGAGAGCTGGGATTCCGTCGGGGAGACTTTATCCACGTCATGGATAACTCAGACCCCAACTGGTGGAAAGGGGCTTGCCACGGGCAGACCGGCATGTTTCCACGCAATTATGTCACCCCCGTGAACCGGAACGTCTAAGAGTCAAGAGATTATTTAAAGAAAGCGAAAAATTTTAAACACGTACAAAAGAATTAAACCCATCAGCTGCCTCTATCAGCAGCCTGTGAGGGAGCTCAGAATACCCAGCTGGGTCACCTGGTGACCCTCTCACTTTGGTTGGAACTCTGGGGGGTGGGAGGGGGAGTTGGATATAACAATGCCAAAACTTACCTATAAATTAAGAAAAGAGTTTTTATTACAAATTTTCACCAGTGCTCCTATTCCTCCTCCTTTGTCCTTTTTTTCATCCTGTTTCCTCTTCTGTCCATCAGTGCATGACATTTAATGCCACATATAGTCCTAGCTGATGCCAATAATAAAAGAAAAGAAACCACGTGGGCTGATATTTTCTCTATGCAAAATGTCTGTTTTAGTCGGGACGGCAGAAAGAAGAACAGCCGCTTCTGTGTCCTGCGTTACATGCACACACACAGGAGCGGGCCAGGAGCGGGCGGCCCTTGCCCTTTAGCTTCTGCCGGAGGAGGGAGGGCAAGTGGGAACCTGCCTGCCAGCCCCCACCAGAATGTTGTGTCAGAGTTGGATGGGAGTGGGGGTGAGTGTGCCCCTCAGGGCTTCCTGCGAGCCAGGCCCCAAACCTGTGTCTCCCCCACACTGGTTTCCTTTCCGATGGTGTTCCTGAGCGTATGTTGTTTTTCTTAGTGCCTTCTGCCTTATTTCAAGGGTTGCTTACGAGTGGTGGTTTTTATTTGTTTTGTTTTAAAAATAAGTTAAAGACAGCCAATTTGTTTCCTACTCTGTAAATATTTTTTCCCTCGGGGGAGGGGAGGACAGGGTAGGGAAGAGGAGACAAGTGAGATGAGGGTGTGGGCGTCCTGCCTGTGCACAGCCAGAGTGTTTAAGGTTCAACTTTAATATTTATAGCCCCTGGAGGTTAAGGGAGCCGGAGCCCCAGGGCACAGTGGGACCCGGTTACAGCCCTCCCCGCATCTGACTGGATCTGGCTGAAAGGGGGGCCAGGGTCCTTGACCTTGCGGTCTCAGGTGTTGTCTGTCCCCTCCGTAGCCCCAGACACCAGTCTCTGGAGCCAGCAAGTTTCAAATGCAGGAAGGTTTCAGTTGTATCAGGTTCTACCGTGTTCCTCCACTGGGGTGGGGTGTGCGGGCAGGATGAGCGTTCTCCCTTCATTTTTCTTGCTCTGAAAGCTAGGGGTATCTGTGCAGGGCTTTCACCTTTTGTGTCTGAGCTGCCCAGGTGAGCTTCAGGCCACATTCAGGAAGCAGCTGGGTGGTTTTTCACGTCTCCATTCACAGCGGGCTGTGTTCATAGCTGCTCCACCCGACCCCCTGAAAAGGAAGTGTATCTGTGACGCAGTGACAGTTGGAAGGAAGATTGGAACGATAGGAAGGCTGAGTCCATTGCAAAGCTCTTTCTGTCCGTCTCCTGTTGGCTTCTTGTCCCTTGCGGTAACGCACCTGTGATCATCCTCTCCCCACCCTTCCCACAACAAAAACGGGGCCACTGGGAGTTGGTGGCGGCCTTTGGCTTCTGAAGTGGTCGGTCAGTGTCTCCCCTGGACTCTGGTTATGGAGCCGGACTCAGCCTGGAGTGGCCGGGGGCCCAGGAGGCGCTGCCCTCCCAGACAGAGCGTCTGCCTCATCACCCCTGTCCACTAGCTTCTCCTCTCCTTGCTGATGATACGAGGAATCTCTGGCATTCTGCACCTGGACCATTTGATTGTTTTATTTTGGAATTGGTGTATATCATGAAGCCTTGCAGAACTAAGTTTTGTGTGTATATATTTAAAAGAAACTCAGTGTTTAAATAAAAAGACCTGTGTACTTAATCCTTTAACTCTGCGGGTAGCATTTGGTAGGTAGTGATTAACTGTGAATAATAAACATACAATGAATTCTTCACTCTGTATCTTTTCTTTTTTTCCCCTCGCCTTAATGTAAAAACTAAAGGCTCTGTCAGGGAATCAGGACACTTGTGTCCTTATTTCCAGCTCACCTCACTCCTTGGGGACCATGGGGGTCTCACTGGGCCCCTGGAAGAGTGATGCCCACATCACTGTTGATCAGAATCCCTGCGAGCGTGTTCCCAGTGCAAAGTCCCACACGCCAGACCCCACCCTCAGATTGCGTGGAGGGCACCAGCAGCGCCCGGTGTTTCCGACAGAAGCCACAGGCCGCAGTTTGAAAACTGGTGTAGTCTCAGTGCCTCATAAGGACTAAGCATGGCTGGCTTGGTTCTCATCCCCTGCTCCCACCTAAATAAATAAAGGACAGAAGGACAGAATAAGCCATGTTGAAGGAGTCTCAGTGTCTCGACTCGTTACAGCAAACTCGGTGGCCCAGCGGGGCTGCCTCAGGGTGGCACTGGGCCTGTCACCACCCATAGCGCTGGCTACAGGAGGCCAAATAAGACTTGTTTAGAGAGAGAACAGGAAAGAAACCAAACCCAAGGAATTTCCACTTACGTTCTTGATCCTGTTCTTACATAGAGCCCCAGCATGCTTCCTTGCTGGTGGCTGCCCTGCTTGGATGAGAGAGTCTCCACTTCTCCGCTTCTCTGCAGTGACCGCGAGAGAGAACTTGACCCAGCGCTGCCCTGCTGGAGGCCACTGGGCTCAGGGTCCACCCAGGCTGTCCGAGCAGAAGCCAGCAGAAGTTTCCGGAAGGGGCCATTGAAGTGAAAACTTCAGGCAGTGACTGTCAGCCTCCTTGAGGCTTTTTGCCCTGTTTTGACTCATGGCCTCAGAATAGCTTCAGAATTAATGGGAAAATGGCTGCTTTTGCACTACCAGTTTGGTCACAAGCTTCTTGGTGTCTGTGTCCTCCTCCAGCCCTGGGTCTGTCGTTTCTGGCGGGGGAGGGCGTCTGGGTGGGAGCGCCTTTGGAGAAACTGCACTGTGGGATGTAGTGGGCCGGCTCGGCTGCCTTTGACAACTGAAAGCTCTGGTGGGTGAGTGGCCTGCGGCCTGCTCCCTGAGCTCCTCCCAGAGCAGCCCTCCGACCTGCTTCACACCTGGTGACCTGGGAAATGGCAACAGAGAAGCTCGTCTTCAAGGAAGATTGCGGAGGGTCGGTGGTGACAGCTCCTGCCCAGCGCTCTGAGGCAGTCTGCCACGCTGGGGCTGCTGAGGTGACACGTGGAAGGAGAAAGGGGATGGGCACAGTGGCCTGCCTTTCCTCGACACTGGTCCCCTTGACCTGCTTACAGTAGGTGACCTTCAAGTCAGAACGTCTGGCTTTTCCAAAGTGCCTGGATAACTAGGAACGGTGAGCGAGTAATTGTATTTATGCGTGTGGGAAATAACTCCTAAGACACTGGATTTACATGTTGGGCAAATTGTCCAGGTCAGATCTGAGATACATAGAAAAATAGATCTGATCTCTTTTTCACAGAAGAAGAAGGAGAGGTTGCGTACTCAGGGAATGTGTGTTCCTTTGGAGACTTCTTACACTGGGGCTCAGGGGTTATAGGCACCTCCCTCCAACCAAGTCCCGAGGCAGGGGCCAGATGGAGCAGGGCCATGTAGCCACAGAAGGAGCTGGAAGTGGGCAGCCCTGGAGGGTTGGGATTTGGTTTTTTTTTTTTTTCAAGGATAGCTTTACTGAGATACAATTCACTATCATAAAGTCACCCATTTATGTATTTACTTGGCCACAACATGCAGCATGTGGGATCTTAGTTCCCAGACCAGGAATCGAACCTGTGCCCCCTGAGGTGGAAGCTCGGAATCCTAACCACAGGACCGCCAGGGAAGTCCCACAAGTCACCCGTTTAAAGTAGACCATTCAGCGGTGTTTAATATTCACAGATTATGCGATCAATTTTAGAACTTTTTCATCACCCCAAAAAGAAACCATGTATCCATTATCAGTTACTTGCCATCTTCCTCCAGCCCCTCCCAGTGCTTGGCCACCACCAGTCTACTTTCTGTCTCTATGGATTTGCCTATTCTGGACTTTTTGCATAAACGAGATCGTACAATACGTGACCTTTTGTGGCGGGCTTCTTTCACTCAGCATCGTGTTTCCAAGGCGCATCTATGGGGTGACACGTACCAGAACATCATTCCTTCTTACAGCGGAATAGCACTCCCTGGTATGGAGACACCCTCTTTTATCTGTTCGTACAGTGATGAGCATTGGGGTTGTTTCCACTCTTTGGCTGCCGTAAATGATGCTGCTGCAGACATTCACGTGCAAGGTTTTATGAGGACACACCCTGGAGGATTTCAAGCAGAGGAGCAGACACAGTCCTGTTTGGCTAGAAGAGTGGAGAAAGAGGGCCACGGAAGAGACCCCCTGGTGAGCTGTTGTCCTGCCGAGCGAGGGGGGTGGCAGGGGGAGCGAAGAGAAGCTGGTTGATCTGAGTCATATGTAGGAGGACCGGTTGGCAAGACATGGGGGTCAAGGAAAAGGAGGGGTAGAGATGACCCTTGGATCCTTCTTGAGCAGCAGGGGCCCTGAAGTTGCTGTCAACTGAGACAGGGAGCCCTGGAGGAGGGCGAGCTGGTGGGCGGTGGGGAGGGAGGGTGGACCAGTTGCCTTTGGTGTCTGTGGCAAACGTCTGGAGCAGCAGAACGTGGTCACCTGGAGCTCAGGAGACAAGACAGCAAGGGATCAGGGTTGTGGGTGTGGAAGTGGTCCTGAAGCCCTTGCCCTGGGTGACTCCTCACCCGCTCTCCTCAAAAGAAGGAAGAGGGCAGAATTCGGGGCCGGGCCCTGGGGACTGGACGAGGAAGCAGCAAAGGAGATGAGGAAGAGGCCAGAGAGGCAGGGGACAAACCAGGGCTGTACAGCGCAGGGGCAGCTGGGCATCCAAGAAACGGCCCCTGTGGCCATACTCCCCCAAGCCCCTCGACCTCCACCCTGCTCTTTC